TTCATGAAGTCCTCACTGGAGGAAGAAACAGCAATTTATTCATACTTTAACAGTTTGTTAATGGCCTGTTAATACGTTCTGCCACTGCCGACCTTTGGGGACATTCATGGTCTCTATGTGGCCCAAAATGAAAATGAGTTTGACACTACTGTCCCAAAGGGTCTTCAGTGCAGACATTATGCAATAAGGCGGCTTAGATTTTCAACTGAAGATGTGCCAATGGACAAGATGTGCTGAAATGCAAGCTCTATGTACATTGTGTGCAATGAGCACTTGAAACTTACCAACACATTTTCAGGTGATCAGTCTATGCTGTAGCTTTAACCTATTCAGCAAAAATAAATTGTAATTTCATCAAATATGTATTAACTTAAGCAGCAGTAGGAACAATTTTAGAATTTCTGATTTCTATAGCAATAAATAGATTTTATGAGACGTATATATTTATGTTTTTGTTTGTTTTCATGATTTGTGAAACATTCCCATTTTCGCCAGAGGTCATCGCGTCTTAGCGATCCCCTACGCGTCTGTTGGTAACTGTGGATCTAATTGTTGCCTGAGAAAACGCGTTCCTCCTGCAAGGTGACCGTAAAATCGCTTCATATGCATTCCCACGCCTCCTCCATCACTCTGCGCTGTCAGGTAGCGGTCAATAAAAAAATAAAAAAAAAAAAATAAATCATGCGGTAGTTATTGAACAGTTTAGGAATATGATATGCTCTCTCTCTCTCTTTTTGTTTTTCCCTCCTTCGTGAACGTAGCTCACCGAGACGCGAGTAGACCCTCTCCCTAATAAAAAGGCATCCAAACATGAGAAACACATCTAAGATATGGAATCTATTATTATTTTTTTTTTTAATAAGAATTATGGCTGTGCTGCAGGCTGATACCAGTTTACAGTAAGGGGTGAAAAGCGTACAGATTCATGTAGTTCCCCTCTGTTAACCAGGACTGACGGTTTACCTTGAGGAGCAGTGAAATAGCGTAATATCCTGAGTATATCCCTCCCATGGACATTTATCACCAGAATAAATCCTTCCCATTGTCGCTTCCCAGAGTCTGTGCAGCCGAGAGAAGCGGCAGCAAAATTAGAACGTAATCTATCTGAGGGCAGAGGCGTCGAGACGACTAGATCAATAACCCGAAGAATTCAAGCTGGTAGTGGATGTTTTCAGATAAAATGGAGAGCAAACTTCTCCAGGCAATTCCAATACAGATGCTGGGCTTCTAATAGCGCCGTCTGAGGTTTGAGGATGTAAAGGTATTTCACCGAGTTCGGAGACTCGGAGCGCAGAGTTCTAGGTCTCGCTGTCTCAAAAACTTAAATAAAACAGGCTGGAACACGTTCCGCCGTAAACATCTTGAACAACATCAGACTTTGAGACTTCTCGGGGTTTATTCTTGTGTGTGAGCGGAGTTGGCACGGGCTGCCACAGATGCAGGGTGTGTCTCTGCTTACCGCTGCGCCCAGACATCAATACGGGCACCAGTAATGACATCTCCCCAGAGACAGAGAGAGGGAGAGAGAGAGAGAGAGCCGGGCTCAGGACGCGGCGAAGCATGAAAGGAGAGATGATCGAAGAAAAGGACGGAGAAAGTGGACAGACGACGAGCGAGTGTTCAACCGAGCGGGGCTGTAATTACACGCCGATGAGTGATAAAAAATGACAAAACAGAGAACAGGAATCTAACCCGGTTGCTAACCGTTGACTGCTCCGAGCAGAATGTTGCATCGCTAAACAGCAGGCTGCAACAGATGAGATACGGCGCCTTGCAGGAGCATTGGTGGTGCCAAAACTTTGTATTTTTACAACAGAAAATTGTGCCAAAAAAAAAAAGCACTAAAAACATGAACACAAAATAGTGCCTACTTTTGAAGCAGAATCTATTTATTATTATTTTTTTTTTACGATTCTACATGCGAATAGGGTCCGATTATGTGTAAATAACATAAACACAAATAGAGATCAGTGAACAAAAAGCATCATCGTAAAAGAAACACACCAGACTGACAGTCTCAGACTTACCCATACATAATACAGGACAGAGTTATTCAAAATGCCTGCTGTACATTTGCAGAAACATACCGGTAGTACCTCTACTACAGGATTTTGTCATGGCTCACCTTCAACAGCTTGATTTCTAAATATAACTCTTGCTATAGTTGGTGCAACATGAAGCGACGCTTCAACATTAGAGTACTAAAAGCAAACCATCCAAAACTGGCTGCAAGATCTAGAAAAATGAGCAGCGTCCGAGCTGCTGCGGAAGATATCCATTTTAGGCTTGAAATATTTTCGGATATTGGGTTTGTTGGTTCTGCTTTGTGCTGCTTGGCACAGCATGACTTACTGCTATGAAAAAAAAAAAAAAAAGCACCACATACTTTCAAGTATAAAGAAAGCTGTAATAATTACCAGTCAACATTTTCCCTTTGCATGACAGTCCAAAAGCTTTCCGCTGCCTGCTAGGTTCTCTAATGAGACTGCAGACGCGAGCAGGGGAAACGCAGCCGGTTCAACTCGCTCCTGATGGGATTTTTGTGACGCCTGTAAACTTCTTCTTGGTGCCAGAGGAAGAGTTTTACTGAAATCCAGAAATGACAGATGACCACAAGGTGAACAAGATGTAACAGGCCTGAAAGACCTTAAAAGAGCTTTAGTGAGAGGGACAGGATTAACTGATTGGTAATTAAAGATGTAGCCCTCGCCTCTCAGGGGATCAGCAGAGGCCTGGTCCTCCAATCAATCAGCGGATATTAGAGACCAGCCTAAACCAACGGGCTGGTGCTGCTGTGTGGACAGACATTCCTTCTTAAATGCCAATCATTCATCAATCTGCCAGGCTGCGATAAAACTCCAAGAAGTTGTCGTGAAAACTAAGCCGAGGCACAAACTGCAGCCGTAAAGCATGGAGGATGAGGAGCAAAGTTCAAGCTAAAGAGACAAACGTTGCCCAAAGTACCACTGTCACTTTCTGTTTGTTAATAAATCAAAGCCGTAAGCCTTTTTAGGGGTAGTTCAGGAGTTTCAAAAGTGTGGTTGCCTAACCAAAATTCAAAAAATAATGCTGATTATTGTTGTTCAAGCTTTGTTAGCATCTGCGGACTCCCGGATTGGATTCTGGTTTTGATTTGAACTGGGCCATCGTGTTTAGATTCAGGTGTTTGACACATACACTCTCAGTTGGGCTGCAGATGCCAATAAATACATCTGGTATTACCATGTACTTTCCAATGATGACTATTGTTAATATGCATATGTTTGTTGTGATTTCTCGGTTTTGTTTTTTTTTTTCTCTTTCTGCAGGTTTAAAGGCAAACTTTTTTTTTTGCCTCTAAACCCGCAGAAAGAAACAAAACAAAACTGCAAAACTACAACAGCGGCATATTAACAACAGTCATCATTGGAAAGTACATGGTACATAAAATAATACAAGTGAGTGTGACAGCGTATCTGAATAACGAAGACGATGCAGTGCTTTCAGACCTCAAATAATGCAAAGAAAACAAGTCCATATTCTTTTAGAAACAACAATAGAAAGAGTTCAAAAATCAACATTTGGTTGAATCACCATGAGGTACAGTGGTCTCTTAAGTTTTTCCAGAGCTGTATATGTGTAAGTATATCATGGCGAAAGCCATAATGCTTCACTTGGGAAGGTAAATCTGCTCGGGCCTCAACTGAACAGAAAACAATTCTGTCTGAGTACCACACTACTGGACAAGATATGCTTAAAACAAAACAAAACAAACAACAACAAAAAAGGATTGCAATCAGGTCATCCTAAGACATAAACATGCCATTCAATTGTAGATCTGGCGTTATGTTTAGCGTAACTATCTACTCGCAATCACTCTTCATTCAGGTCTAACATCAACCACCCCTACAGCTAAATGCCACTGGTATGTTTCACTTTAGGGTGTTTTTGTTCAGGGTAGTGTCTAGTGTTAGTTTCCTGCCAAAAGCAGTGCTTCATAAGTAGGCCAGAGACTTTTTTTTGTTTTGGTCTCATCTGACCAGAGAGAATTGTTCCACATGTCTGCCCTGCACTCTGCGTGACCTTTGGGGAATAAAGGGAGCTCTTAACTTTTAAAAACCTTGGTGTTGCTTGTTACCAGCAACTGGCTGCTAAGTGACAGAGTGCAAAAATCAATAAAATATGTGTAGCTTCTGAAGTTGTGTTTTTCATAAGCTTCATATGCCCCATTTAATAAGATGTTCCATTTCACACTAAGCGCCTCAGCTGGAAAAACTCTGGATACAGATGATCAACAAACTCTGTCTGCATTGTAAATAATTGTAGATTTGTATGCACGTAACTGAAACAAACATGTTTTAAAAAAAAGTACATTTTCCAAGCTAATTTAAAACTTCTGGGATTCGAGCTGTTTCTTGGTTGGCTTTGTAAAAAGGAAGCAATTTTTTTCCCTTCAGAGACAGATAAGAGGACATACTTTTTTTCTTCCTCAAACCTTTCAACAGTGTTGCTCAGTAAAGTACAATGATTCCTTTATTTGGGTAGACGGATAAAGGGTTATTTGAGTCCAACGGTCTGCTGTCATGGGAGACTTAGCCGCAGCTGTAGTGAACTAATCTGCAGCCGGCGGTGAATATTTCTGCGCTTCGGTATGCCGCGAGGCACCGCGGGAGATGCATGTAAGGGATTAGCTCGAGTTCTGACTGTAATTCAGGCGGCAATGTCGAGAAGAAATCACTTGTGTGTCTGCCGTTGGCGCTAACGGCTGTGTTTAAAGGGGTGGGTTGGGGTCAGGAGTTCACCGGATTAGCAGGCAGCAGAGGAATTGTTAACCTCTCTGAGCTTTTGTAATGTAAAGTCAGAGGCTCACAGCGAAATAATGGGCAGACGCCTAACCCTAACCCTAACCCCCCCCCCCCCCCCTTTTTTTTTTTTTTTTCATCTGCGCCGTTCCTGCGGAGAACAGGAACACGGGCTGAATGGAAACCGACAGAATGGAGGGCGAGGAGCGGATCACTAACCTTCGCCTTGCCGGTGCTCTGAAGGATGTGCACCAGCGCGCACGCCACCTCCTCCTTGTTCTTGACGCTGATGGCCGGCTCCAGCACCGAGCACAGCATCATGTAGTTGTTGGTGGTGTACTCCGCAAACTCCTTGTACATCTCCATCGGAAGGATGTTCATGCTCTGATAGCGGGCCTTGATCCGGATCATGGGGCCCGACGTCTTGCCCTTGGGCGGGGTGGGCGTGCTGACCGGGTACCACTTCTCCACAAACTGCCGCCCGGTGACGGCCAGGACGGGGATGCTGACGAGGCCGATGTAGTTGTTTTTATCCTTCTTCTTCTTCTTGTCCGTGTCCTTGTAGAGGTGCGCCGTGATGCTCCGGACGCCGGGCAGGTTGCTGAACTCGAAGTGCTCCCCCCAGAACAGGTTGTCGGTCTTGAGCTTGCAGGTGGTGCGAGCGTACAGCGAGTCATCGAGGAAGAGCTCGCAGAAGTATTTCTTTTTGGCCGGCAGGTCCTTGGCCTCGATGATCCACAGCCTCAGCATATTTTCCACCCGCCGACTGTTGTCCTGTAGAGGGAGGATAACAGGAACAGAGTTAACCTTGAGAACGTGTGGGAGGGAACTAGAATACAGCTGCAGAAATACCTCGAATTCACCGATGTTCCCAGGCGGCGAACATACTCAGTACAATACAACATCTCGGATTAAGCTGTATTTCTATTTTAAATGACTAAAAACAACTCAAAAGGTGGTCCAAGAGTTTTTCTAGAGCTCTGGATATTATTTTATTACTTATTCCTGCTTTAATCTTTTCCACCACATTTTCTTGCACCTCGGTGCTCTGCTGATTTTGTCTTCAGTATCTTCTCTGTTCACTACTGTAATTTAACAAACCTCTGAGGCCTTCATAGAGCAGATTCATTTATGCTAAAGTGAATGTAGCTCAGGTGATCTCTGAAGTAGTCAGGCAGCTGATTACACTGAGTCTTATTTAGGGCTACGGACATAGAGGGGATTTTATTTTTGACAGTTTTTGATTTTTATTAGTAGAAATAAAAGGACAACTTTGCATCACTTTCATCTACTCTAAAATGATGGACCGCTACACAAAATTCTTTAGCGCTGTGGCTAACGCACCTCTTTCCTAAAGACTGTATGGTAGGGAAGTGGTTTCTGCATAAAGAGGGAGCTAAAAGACGGAGCGCTAAAATGTTTATCAGTGCAGTCAGGTTTTTTTTATTTTTTTTTTAACATGAGATTTGCTCCTAACTGAGATAAATGACCTTGAAGCAGCAGCAGCAGCTGTGATAAGAGCTTATTAAATCAGAGAGAAACTGAGCTGCAGCGATTCCTTTCTTACCCACTTCAGCGCTTAATACAAAAGATCGTCCTTAAGAGAATGAAAGGAGAGCTGCTGTCCCATGATGCCTTGCAGCATTAACATTCACAGCAAAACACACTGTTCAACAGGTGAAGGCTTTTTTTTTCCTGTGTTGCAAAGATAGTTATTATTTTCATGCAGGCATATTTATCAGGACTGTTGTTGATGAATGCTAGGTGGAGAAGATGGTAAATGTTTGTTTTTTTTCCCCCCCTGATGTCATGGTTTTGCAATTTGTGACTAATCCTGCACTTCCTATTATCACTGACTAACGCAGAGAGAATTTATAGGTTACAGTGTCTAAGATGTCTGGTTGTTGACCTCTTTCAGGTAAGGTACTCTTTTCTACACATTTTCTAGATAAAACTAATCATATTTAGACCTTTCTCTCTAAAAGCAGAACTACACCCTCCATGTCACCACTTTAAAGTCATGACTTTTCATCTCCACTAAAAAAAGAAACCTAAATGTTTAAAAAAAAAAAAAAAAAAAAAAAAATTCACGGGTTCCCCTTTGTGTCTCGACTTGATTCAGTCATTTTTCCTCTGAAAACATTGAGCAATTTTTTTTTTTTTTTAACCGAATACCTTCTTGTTGCTTTGTGGGTCAATCCACCCTCAATCCCGGAGACAATCACTCCTACACACTGGGATTGAAAAAGCAATCACTTCCCAACTACATTCATCCTTCCAAAGCGAACTAAAGTGCTTCATGTGCTGAGTCACTCAACCCGTACAAAGGTCCTACTATCTGGTTGCTTTCCCATCTGCCAGCCGAAGATCTACAGTATTTGGCTGTGCTGTGTCAGAATCTGAATTGAATTAGACTCTTTATACGAATCTCAGTATGAAGTGCTGTGCAAAAATATTTCTTCCTCTTGAACCTTTCCGGTTTTTTGTCATGTTACAGACTCAAGGTCACAGGTGGTTTATTTTGATTTTACTGGATTACATCTGCAGCTTTTTTTAGGCATGTATCCATCGGTTTTAGCACATCTTAAGACAGCAATGTATGCACTCCAGGTAAAGATGTGCAAAAGACCTCAAAATAAGTTCAACATATTGAAAGTTCAACTTGTAGTTTGAATACATTTATTCAGGAGGGGGAACGTATATCCATAATTTTTAATTTTCCTTGCACACTAATTGGTACCCCGAGTAATCTCTGTAAAAATTCCTTTAACTGAGTAATTTCTTTGAATTATTTGTTTAACTTTCTTCACTTTATAGTTGATTATATTTTATATGATCAGACATGAAGACCGGAAACACACTCACCTTGCTGGATTACAACTTATATTTATGGCTTTCCACGTCACACGGTAATCATCATGGGAAGGGAAGTAAAAAATAAAAAATCTCCAAAGTTCAAAATTAGGGAGCTACAGCAAAAACAATGACATCCTGACGTCAACGGACGTTTTTTTTAACTGACGGCATGTCATATCACGAGTTTAGCTAGCACCTATCTAGCTAGCTAATTGCTAGCTAGAGCTTAGCTAGCACCTATGTCGGAGGAGCAAATATCTTATGTGCAAATATCTTAGCACATGCTT